TGTAGTTATAAAAGTCATTAATCGTACCTTTGTGGGTGTGTGTGTGTAATGATATATGTTGGACCAGCAATATTTGCACCTGTTATATGAATACCGTTTTCTAAAAAGTCAAATTATCATCCCATGCATTCCACACCCCCTAGCAAAAGAAAGTTAACACAGTCCACTAAAGTAAAATAAGAAATAGCGGTGCATTGTACAATGACAAGTATTAGGAAGCAGAAACTTTGCCTTTCCTTTTTTTTTTTTTTTAAATACTAACAGGTATTTCTGTAACTCACAGAGTGAATGTCAGTGTGGAACAAGAGGAGGGGCAGGGTCCGGGGGTGGGAGGGGCATCTGACAACTTAGCAAGGAGGGCAGCACCTCCTTCTGACCCTTCTCAGCACATCTATAGAGACACCTCACACACGCGGCTCAGCCAGAGGTCACCCTAACCTTGACTGTTCCCAACATTCTTCACAACAAATCCGTAGAAAAATGAATGTGTTTACAGCTACCCTTGGGTAATTACAACCACATTTTACATCCCATCCCCTTTGAAATTCTCATGAAACAGAAAAAGATATGGTATGAAAATATGGGTGATTATTCATTATATATAAAGCCTTTGAATAATGCATCAAAGATCCATTAAAATAAGTGGAAATAATATATTTTAATGGCCCAGCCACACACTGGTTGGGGGTATTGAGTCACGAATGGCACAGCAGGGCGCCAGTGGCTCTCATAGCCACACTGGTGGTGGAGAGATCGTGAGCAATGCATACTTGAAATCCATAGACATATAGAAGTTCCTTCTCACTCTGTTTCTTAAGGAAACTGTACAATTGCCTTGAAATTATAAGCAACTACAGAAGGTATATGCCCTTTAAAATTATATTGCCATCACAGGCAGCACCTAATAAATGCAAACCTGAGGTTAAATGTAATGGACCCAGATCCAGAGGTCCAGCCTGTAGTCTCTTGCTTTGTGACCTTGTACCAGTTATCTGTTGCCACAGTGATGATGAGCAATAACAAGCCACCACATCGGTGCACACCCACTTAGGAGCGTGTTGGAGGGCCGAGCGGATCTGCTGATCAGAGCTGGGCTCCGTGGGCTTGCTCCTGGCTGCAGTCAGCTTCAGGCTGGTGAGCACCTCTCCTGCTCTGGGCTGAGCGCTCTCCTGTGTCTGGGTCTTCGGTTGAAACAACTGCCGATTGAGCTCTGTGCTAGGATGTCACTGTCTGCCAGCAGGCTAGCCTGGCCTTGTTCTGAGGGCACTGGCAGGGTCCCCAGGAGACTTGGAACTGGAACGCCGTCACTCCCTCTGCGTTCTGCTGGCCAAGAAGGCCGTGATGGAAGAAGCCACAGAGTCATATTGCAGAGGGGGCAGAAATAGGGAGGGGAAGGGTTGGGGCCGTTTTTATAATCAGGCTGTCACAGGTCTGGGGCAGGTTTTTGGACCACTCTGAGTAACCATTACCTTGCCTGTAATGCACAGGTCCTGGTTCAGCCCAAGGAGACAATGTAAGTGAACATACTTCTAACTAAAATTCAGTGCAACAGCTCAAGTAAAGTTAACTAAGGGGCGGTGCAGGGGGTACAAACCAAACTCTTAAGCCTTTATATGTAGATGCTGGTGGTCCAAGCTGGTACTGGGAGATTCCCATTTATAAAATCAGAAAACACCAAAGAGTTCTGGGGTTCCGTGCTGGGCTCAGACCAGCCCAGGCCCAGCCACCACAACCCCAGGCCAAGGACAAAGGCCCCATTCACAATGGTTACTGCCCCGCTAGAAGTCACAGCGAACTTCAGAACCGTAGCATTGTTTGTCTCGGAGAATAAACTGGTCTTGTCCTTGTATTTTGAAAAAAGTGTTATCTTTATACCAAATCATATTACCACTTGGCCAGTTTTTTAGATGTTGTCTCACCTCTTCCCTCCTGTCAGTTCCGTGTGTATTTTAACAGCATCCCTGGTGACGGTGGTTGGGGGTCGCACCAGCGGTTTCCAAGTAGCAGTCCTCACTGTGGACACCATGCAGACCTGGTGCTGAACAGCCTCGGGACTGAATGCCTTCCCCCGGCCAGTAGGCGCTGGCCCTCAGAAGGCCACTTCTGCTCACACTGAGATGTCCAGAAGTCATACTTAGTCTGTATCTCTATGTCGCCGAGGCTCTCCAGCCAGAACACCATCTTCCCAGACCCTCGCGGCTCTGTCAGTAGCTCTGGGCAGCGGTGTGGTCCCTGAGCGCCGCGTGGCGCTAAGGAGCAGAGGGTTCCTGGGGTAAGTGGGATGCAGAACTTTCGGAACTAAAATCGACAGGTAGGGCAGAGCAAGCAACCTTCTGCACACAGTGCTCTGCTAAGTGCTGCTGCAAACATCAAGTGACCTTGAATTGGATACCGTGGATTACATCGCTCATTAACCAGATGAGGATCTGTTTTGTTTGCACCTCAGACAGTGCTTGGGAGATCCAGGCACACTGGAGCCCGGCAGCGCGCATTTCCCAGGCTGGTGAGCGGGTGGCTGCGCGGGGAGGGAGAGCGGGCCGAGGGTGGGCGCCGCCTGGGAGCCGGGGCTGTGTTTCCCAGGCCGCCTGCATCTTAACCCTCTCAGAGGCCAGAGGCAAAGACAGCCTGCTGGAAACCTGAGGCCGCTCTCCAATGTCTTGACTGAAGTCCCCTCTGGGCCGTTAGTATCCTGTCGTAGGATTTCCTCTTCCTGGGGTTGCATTCCTGCCCTCAGCACTCTGAGAACTTCAGGCGTCCCTGAGCAGTTCCCTCAGGTTCCCGCGTGATGATGCGGTGCTCAGGTGACTTTCTGAATTTTCCCCGAGGGGTTTCTTCGTTGCACTCTGACGACTAAATCCTTCCTTTTTTCTTTCTTTTTGTTCTTTTTCTTTGCCTTTTCCTGAGTTGAAAACACTGTATGGGATGGGACGGTTGATCCTTAGCACAAAGATCAGTTTGGGGGAAGAAAACAAAATTTATGATCACGCTTTCTTCAAAATGAAAATACATTATCTTTGAACGTTTTAAATCGTATTTTGTAATGGTATTGTACGTTAGTTTATATTTTTATAATGTGTATATCCAGTGACCACTTTTCAAGACTTTAGTCAATAAATAGAAGATGCTACATAATCTTACGTTTGAATTAGGTTGCATTTAAAATCTTTATTTTATTTTAAAATATGCCTTTAAAACATCTCTTTTTAATTTGCAGTTTAATTTCCCACTATCTTCCAACCATACATCTTGAGTTTCATTATTAAAAATTGGTTGATTTGGGGGATTTTTTGACCAACTACAGATAATAAGTTTTAAAACTTTATTTATATGGGATCAAAGGGTAAACTGAACATATTAGATTTCTCCGGGAAAAACTTCAGCGGGAGAGGGTTGGGCGGAGACAAATGGCAGCTCAGCGGCAGTCCAGGCTGCCTGGCACTCAGCGGGCTCGCCGCTCAGAGCTGCCAGCGGCCAGGGCGCTGCCGCCACCAGGGGACGTACTCAGGGAAGTGGCTTTAGAGGCCCCTGTACGAAGTGGCCTCGCCTTGGGGATTCTGCGTCCCTTGGGGCTTTCAGAAAGTAGAGAGAGGACAGTGAACAGGTGCAGAGCACCTGCCTGCGCCTGGCCCTGAGCTGGCTGTTTTCTTCCTTCCTACAAAACACTGAATTATCCCCCCGTTTTACAGATGAGGAAACGGAGGTTCTTGGAGGTGAGGTGATGGGCCTTGGGGAAGAAGTGAGGGTTCGGAACCTAAGCCCCACCGCCTGCGCGCCCCGCCCCGCCCGTGCTGCGAGCCCCGCCGTCGCGCGAGCCGCCAGCAGGTGGCAGTGCATGCACGCCGCGGCCTGCGTGATGGCGCTGGATTTTGTTTTTCTGGGTTCTGCATCATTGTCAAAGAACACTTCATGTGAGTCATCTGAGCAGTTGGTACATAGCTTATCTACCCACTGGAACAAAAAAAATCCAGTACCAGCGTCAGCTAGGAGCGGAGTTGCTCTTCGCGCTCTCCCTGAGCGCGGTGCTGCGTCCCCGCCCCCATCCCCACGGGGCTGGCCGCGCCCTGCCGTTTTTGTCGCTCGCGGCCAGGGGGCCTCCTGTGCGTTTTCTTTCTCTGAGTTCGCACGCACCCTGGGGCTGCGCGGGATGCCAAGAAAACGACTGCTTTCAAAGCTCTGTCACCACGCAGTGCTGACATGTGTGCGCCTCCAAAAGGTTAGGGCAAAGAGCTGGACCCGCCGGCTGGCCCTTTGTGGCCGCACGTCCAGCCGCGCCCCCCGTGGAGCTTCCAGGTTCGCGACAGGCACCGCGCTCCGAGCAGTCTCCCCGCCCCGGCGCTCCGTGCGCGCGGCAGCCTGTGCAACCTCGCTGTGTCCTGAGGGGGCGCCCTTCTGCCTGGGTTTGGGGGCGTCCTTAAGTTTCTTTAGAGTGACCCTGTGGTCTGTTTTTTTCTTAATGACATAGATGAGCTCCTTTGGTTGGCTTTTGGCAACTGCCTTACATAAAGTTTTCCTGCAGACGAACGTATTCTGTCTCTTTCTTCAGAGGGCTGTGGCCTGGGCTGCTGGCTCTAGTGAGCTGCTGTGGATGGCCCCCGTGGCACAGGCAGCTTTATTTGGCGGACTCGCCGTTCATCTTCATTGACGGGAATGTAAACTCAACGACTCGACACATTTTTCTTGTGCGCTAACGATGTGTTTGGTATTGTACTGGGTGCTATAATACGTGGCCTTAAGTTATTTTTCACTAAACATGAAATTGGTGTGAAAAAAACTAATACAATATTAGCAAAAGTTATCATTTTATCATCTATCAACTTATCAACTTATCATCATTATCCTCTAGTAAAAGTTATCATTTATAAGTTGGGAGTAATATTGGTCCCTCGTTTCTCCACTTGAAGAACACATAAAACTACTTTCTGTTAGCAAAACTGGGCAGTGTTTCTGGGTGCGGCAGATGGCAGATGGCTGAGTGAGGGTGTCCGCTTGCTTCTGCCCAGCCTGCAGAGCGGGATGAACCTCCAGATATGCTTCGTCAACGACAGCGGCAGCGATAAGGACAGCGACGCCGACGACAGCAAGACCGAAACCAGCGTGGACACCCCCTTGTCTCCCATGGTGAGTGCAGAAGCTGCCGCTGGCGCTTGTGTGTGCTCTTCTGGGTGTTCAGCTCTTTTCTGTCGTTACTCAGGAACAAACGTTGCAGAAATTTAAAAGGAAGTGTCTCTTGACATTCCTGGACATGGCCCCTAAAATTCGACTGCAATTGAAGAATCAAAACTGTGATACAGTAAGGAGACGTAAGCCCTGCTAAAGTAGGCAACTACTTTCATATTAAACCATAAGAAAAAGCACATACGCCCTAAAAAATTATAAAGGAAAATATGCTGTATACCAATCCTTCCCCATTGGGGTTAGAAATGTGAGCACAGACGAGCAGCAGGACACACTGTAAAAGGCAGGGCATGGGAGGAGGGCAGGGGTTGGAAGACTAGCACATCGAGATGTTGCTCAGAGAAACTAGCAAGATCACATGTGTAAAGCATCCGCTCCTCATTCCTTGCACACATATTAAGGGTAGCTTAATGATCCTGGGAGCCTGTTGCTGGAATTCTTTCCTTTCTATGAGGTCTGTTGAGCATCTTTCTTACAAAGACCAACCAAGAGGAAACAGTGTCGGTAGTGCGTGCACTGCGACGTCAGAAGTTCCGTGCCTACCAGAGGCCCTGTCGGCTTCGGGGGCGCCGTGCCGCCTTAGCTCTGGGTTCAGTGTTCTGCTGTGTCTCATCACTTCAGGGAGGCGTTGAGACCAAGAATCAAAACTTCTCGAGTTTGTCATAAATATATTCTCCCCATTATTAATGACACTACTCTTTATGCTAAAATCAGAGTGTATGGTTGACACTGAGGAAATAAACTACCTTTTTTAATGTTACTTGAGATTTGTACAGATCAGATCAAGCAGACAGCTGCGTTGGCAGGGACTCATGGCAGCTCTGAGACAGGGCTCGGGATGCTGGGGCCCGTCGCCAAAGATGGCGCCCAGCACGGCGAGCTCAGGCCTGCTCTTTTTTTCCTTTCGCAGAGCAAACAGAGTTCTTCCTATTCTGATAGAGACACTACTGAAGAGGAGTCTGAATCCCTGGATGACATGGATTTCCTCACGAGGCAAAAGAAACTGCAAGCCGAAGCCAAAATGGCCCTCGCCATGGCCAAACCAATGGCCAAAATGCAAGTAGAAGTGGAAAAACAGAACAGGAAAAAGTCTCCCGTCGCTGATCTCGTAAGCAGCGAACGCTGAGGTGCAGCCAGCGTGGGGGACACTGCCCCCGTCCCTGCCCAGAGTTACGCAACCTGGGCTTGTACGAGGCACTTTGTAAAAAGCACTGTCATTGAGAAATATTTAAGTTTTTCTTTTTCCTTCCGACCATATCGCTGAAAGATACATAGGCAGCCGTTTTCACAGAAGTCAGCTTTGCTCTTGATTCATAGCTGCTGTGTTTCTTAGGGTCAATATTAGATGTCATGGGAATATTTTAATTCCTTTGAAGCAAGCACAGTTTAGGAACCTGTTGGTTGTGGCAAACCCACTATTGCTTTGTTCTCTTTCTCACCCTTTCAAAGAAGAAAATAGAGCCTGGTGGGTAAGCACCCTGGGGCTTGGAGCCTAAGCCTGGCTCTGCCGCTGACCTGCTGCAGGGCTCCGGGCAAGTTACTGAAGTCCCAGTTTTCTCATCTATAAAATGGGAGTAATAATAATGCCTGTGTCAGAGCACAACTGTGAGAAGTCGGTGACCAAAGCATCCAGAGCACACAGCACTGTGCTTGTAGCAGGGTATCAATTAATAAATCGCTGATGTGAGCAATGCAGTCCACATCACTGATGTCACCTGAGCTCCCTGGGAATTCGTTTGTGGATATTAGACTGACTCACGGTTGTCACAGCCTGGGTTAAAGACCTATCCGAAAGCTTGTGATTTGAGTAGTGTAGCGTTTTGATGCCAAGCGCATTTTAGACCGTGTCGTGTGTGTGTAGGGCCTCATGTTGGGAACGTCAGATTGGGAAAGCTTTTAAGCACAGAACCTGAACTGAAGCCGGTGAGTGAGGGCGGGTCTCCTGGGAGAGGATGGGGTCTTCTGTTGAGTCCTTGCTGCTCTGCTCACACCTCTGTTTCCTCCCGTTTGTATCTTCAGCTGCCACACATGCCTCACATAAGTGAATGCCTGATGAAAAGAAGTTTGAAGCCCGCTGACCTGAGAGACATGACTGTTGGGCAGCTACAAGTGATAGTCAACGACCTCCATTCCCAGATAGAAAGTAAGTGCAAGAAGTGCTTGAAGATGGGGTCCTAAATGTAGACCAGAACGGCATAGGCCTGCTTCCTGGATCCGCTTCCTTTGTGCGTGTCACGGGGTCCTTCCTGTGAGCCTGCAGGGAAAGGAAGAGAATCACATGGCTCTTTTCTTGTTTTGTTACCGTAAAATGTTCAGTAAGACTTGTTCAAGGTTCACAGGGATTATAGGGTTTTTTATTCATCTTACATCCCCAGCTCCTAGCACAGTGCCTGGCATGTATTTGGCTCACAACATCTGTTTCTAGAACACGTTCAGTAGTTACAGGTCATTTATTAGACGATTATCCCCTCGACCTGTATGTCCGTTCATTTTAGGACATCAAATCAAATTCGACTTATTTTGTGGCGCTCCAGGTGGTGAAAGTACACATGACCAGTATGTGAACATTACGAGGTAACGGAGTGTGGGCCTTTTTCCCCAGAATAAAGAAGGACCTCCAGCAGAAGTGGCGGGGGGTGGGTGCTCACTCGAGGTGACTGGTTGTACAGAGCAGGGCAGCTGCTTGGCCGATGAGAGAGAACATGCCCAGTGGGGCGGTGTGGTCAGTCCACGTGAACCCAGGTGCCCCAGCCTCTGGAACATGGGATTCCGTACAATCCTATGGACTTAGAGATGAGAAGTCACCTAAGAGATGTGCCAACCAACTGCATTCAAACCAACCGACTATAGAAGAGCATTTAGGAGCCAAGCAGGGACATCTGAACACTGACGGAAGGTTTTAGTAAAGACTTATTTATTTATTCAGGTACGATAAAGGTATTGCAGTTATGTTAATTTTAAAAACAAAGAACCTTTAGAGGTACCTATTGAAGCATTTACAGATGAAATAATATGATGCCTGGAATTTGCTTTAAGATAATCCAGTAGGAGAAGGGGAGATAGTCGGGATTGACCGTGAGTTGACAGTCGTTGAGGCTGGTTAGATGCACGGGGCGTGGGGACTCCTTAAACTATTCTCTTTGCTTTTGTCTCAGTGTGAAAATTTCCATAATAAAAAGTTTAAAACTTCATATGGGAAAACAATTCCGATGCGCTATAATGGCACCTGCTGAGAGCCAGCCCAGAAGGCTGCCCTGGGAGCGCACGGCTGGAGCCGGACACGCTGTGTCGGGTGACACAGCCAGTGTTGGTTTAAAGGCAAGAGAAAGCTTTCACATTTTAATTAGGAAACCATAGATTCACAGGATTTTTTAAAAATTCTGCTACGTTTTAATGTTAGTTGAGAATAAATTACTAGGAGTGTTATTCTTTCAAGGACTTAAAAGGCTTTCTAATGTTTCACTATGGGAGTGTCTTCCTTAGACTTTAAATAATAAAATGGCCCCCTAGTCCTTTTCTGAACTAGATGAAGTTTTAGACCTCTTCGTATGCTGCTTTTTCTCCCTTTTTTAAGTGGAAACTAGTCTGATGTAAAGGCAGATAAATGCTTCATTTTAAGCCGGGATCTCTCAAAGCCTTTGCAAGGAGGACCCCGCTGAATACGTCCTTCCATCCTTTGTTTCTGGGCCCAGAGCTCTTGCTCAGTTAACGCCTCCCCCCGGTGTTCGTGCATTTGGACCTAGAAGCTTTAATTCTTAGCCCATCTGAGGGGGAAAAGCAAGAGAGAGCCCATTACCTGTTCATGTGTTTCAGGGGCGGAAGCCACACTAACCCAGAGCACTGAGTTCACAAGGATTGGAACTGTCTCCGTCTGTGTCATTCCTAGTTTAAGTCCTAAGGAATATTTCCTTGGTACCCACTGTCCCAAGGTTTCGGGGGTCGCTTCTTCAGGTTTTGCACAGCTGGCTTTCCAGTGTCTTCAGATATGCCTTTTCCTAGAACAGCCTGCACAGAGGGCCTCTCAGGGCCACGCAAAGCCTGTGACATCCCTGGGCGCCTTCCCCCCTGCAGGGCGGATGGTTGAGCGCTGTCAGGTGCGCGGGCACCCCCAGCTCTCGGTGGCAGGAGCATCCTCTAGATGAATAGCGGAAAACTTAATATGCCCCAAACTTTTTTGTTCACGTTTCTTCAAAACAAAATCCCACTTTTTCTAACAAGCTATTTTCCTGACAGCTAACAGTTTCTTTTCCCAGTTTAATGTGAATATAATTGAAAATACTTTACTGTTTTTCTTCCAACACTTCTATAATTTTGCAAACTACTCATATTGTCAAATTGATGACTATCCTGGGCTTATCAGAAACCAGTATAAGCCGTTTATATATATATATGTGTGTGTGTATGTATCTATGGTACGTGTATAATGATCTATAAATAGTTACACTTTCGGACTTAGATACGGTCTTATCTGTTCGTAAATGCTCTCTCTCCTTTGCCGCAGGCTTGAATGAAGAGTTGGTCCAGCTGCTTCTCATTCGAGATGAGCTGCACACAGAGCAGGATGCCATGCTGGTGGACATCGAGGACTTGACCAGGTCAGTGCTGCCTCCCCCTTTCCAAAGAGGGAACGGAGCCTGGGATGGTCTGGAGTTGAAGACCTGAGGCAAGAGCGAGCCCTAGAGAACTTCCTCCCTTACTTCCCTGAGGAACTCACCTGATCGCTGCTGAGCTCAGCTGTTGAGATGGAAGGGACGTAGCCAAAACTGCTCCTTTCTACGTGCTTTGTTTTTTCACAACCTTGTCCCTTGTGAGAGGTTGTCAGTGCATTAGCGCTTCTTACACCCCCACCTAATCAGGTCAGCAGTTATGGCCTAGGAGGCCTTTATCCTGCAGGACCCCCGAGGAGTTGGCCCTGAGCCATTCCATGCTGGAGTGTTTCCAGCCCAGGAGCAGTCACGTGGTGGGTGCCACATAGTGGCACTTGCTGTTATGTGACCCAGCTCTTGATCGCATCTGCCATGCCCAGAAGGCAGAGACACTGGCATCTTTCCACAGCACCAGTGCCACCAGATTGCTCTCACCATGGGGACACTCCAGGACTTGACTTTCTAGCTGGGCCCGGCTCCAAGCACTCTCTGTCAAGAGGTAAAGAATGCTTCCTTCCCTGGGGGTAAGGAAACTAGGGTAATGCTGGTCGAGAGCTGGCATTTCTTAGTAGTTTTCCTTGTAGAAAAGCCTGTCCCCCTAGGTATATAAAGTGTGTTGCATCCTGTGCGCATCCCTACTATCTCATATTCGTTGGGGCACCTTTCCTGAGACAGGACATCCTTCACCGGGAGGGAACAATTACAGTTAATCCCAGAAATGGTATTCGGAGAGCAGAAGGCTCCCCGAGGAAGGAAGGAGCACTGCTCGTCACAATAACACGAAGAGTTAACCACCTGACCCAGAGCATCCTAGAGGAGCTGGAGGACGCAGGTGGTGGAAATGTGCTCGACAGCCGCCGCAGGACTCCACTCAGTGTGTGACACTGCATAAGAGGTTTTCTCGACGCCATGCTATATAAATAGTCTTGGATATTATGTTGCCATGCCCTTAACAAAAACAAAAACAAACCCCAGTAGGCCTTCTCGTACCTTCTCAGCGTATTTGCCTGCGTCTGAAATACCACAGCCACACTCGCTACCACTGCCATCTACAGATGTGTTCAGGCCCTGCACCAATCCTGCAAGACACGTCCCTTTTTGTTAGTCTGAGAAGTTTGCATAGAGGTGTTACATGGGAAATCAGTAGTGAAATATACAACCAGGACATGCATCTTCTGAAAAATATGTAGTCACGTGTCACTTAACGACAAGGACACGTTCTGAGAAATGCATCATTAGGCAGTTTCGTCCTTGTGCGAACACCATAGAGTGTGCTTACACAAACTTAGATGGTGTAGGCGGCTACACACCTAGGCTGCGTGGTACTAATCTTATGGGACCACTATTGTATATGCGATTTGTCCTTGACCGAAATGTCGTTCTGCAGCCGTGACTGTAGACTCATGGGTAACTGCTGTGACTTGCCTGTGACCACAGAGACCCGTGATCTGCCCCTCAGAGCAGCGCTGGCATTCCTCATTGCAAGGACACTGAGAGGCCCCCCTTCCCTCAGAGTGTGAAGCTTTTACTTAGATTTGCAGTGTGTCATCCTAGACCTTTCAGATGTGATCCTGGGAAGTGGGCGAGGCAGAACCATGAGGTTAAAAGGAGAAGAGTCCCTAATAGAATAGTGTTGGAGGAGCCCTTTAAATTGGAGCAGATGGGGAGAAGTTTCTGTCTATTCCTGGCTGCAGAAATACAGCCTCGCTCATGGGGTCATCGAGAATACTTAGGCGTTCCTAAAGGTAGCAGTCCCAGAGTTTGCAGCCAGATCCCAGAAGGCTGAGAGCGTGGCCCTGGGACCTCTGGGAAGTTCTGTTCACCTATTCCCTTTACCTGTCCAACTCCTCCCGTTCCAGGGTCAGTTTGGATCAGTGGTTCTCAGTTTTGGCTGCACATTGGAACCACCTGGGGAGCTTGATAAACTATGGATGCCTGGATCGTACCCTCAGAGGTTCTGACTTAGTTACTCTGTGGAGTGGCCTGGGCATAAAGCTCTCCAGATGATCCCAGTGCACAGCCGAATTGGGGGACCACTGGTTTAGACGCCGCCTAAGTGCTCCCTGAGGCCCCAGACTGGGGTAGGATCTCTTCTCTGTGTTCCTGGCAACACACGGCATCCCTCCCGTGTGGAGCCCAGGCATACTGTGTTGTATCTGTCTGCTGTCTCTCCCCACCTGACTGTGAAGCCCTGAAAGCAGAGATGACATCGTTCTCCTTCATTGCTGTGTCCCCAGAGCCTAAGACAGGGCCTGCCAGGTACATAGTGGGTCCTCACTAATGATTGTTGATAAAAAGGAGTCCTATGGGGCTTGAGTGGAACAAATCCTAATAAGGATTTTCATATAAATAGTTGATGAGAACTTTTTAGTTTTATGGACGGGAACCTTTTCCCTCCTTTGTTTAAAATTTTAATGAAATTTGCCCTTTTATGTATGTCTCAAAATAACACCGAACTTTCAATATTTTCTAAAGCTAGTTCCTGTCTGTTCTTTTCTCCCCTCAGAAAAACCCCTTGCTGTAGGTGTGTGTGCATGTGCACACACATACACACAGGTACACGTTGAAACGCTGCTCTAAGAACTATGGCTTAGCCACGGTGGAATCTTAGCTCACTGTGCATCAAAATATTCTTGAGCTGAATTTGTTAAATGAGGCCCATGAGCTACTTTATGAAAATGATCGAGGTTCGTTTATTCATGTCAACAGGGCCGTGAGATGGGCTGTGTGACTTTGCTTAGAAGAGAGGGCTGGTGACATCTTTTTCTTGAGTCCCTTTATTGTTAAATGCATAGCACCACGTATCTGTGGGCTGCAGAATGTGGCAAGGACACTGTTGTCACTTCCCTATTTCAGGAAGTATTTGCGGTTTGTTTTCCCCGTACCATAGATATGAGACATTCTGCAAAGAACTAGTGAGTGAAACTTGACGTCATTGACTACCCAGTCTAGGCGACACACCCAAACTGCCCTGAGCCTTTGATTACAGCTGGAAACCATGCCCTTAGATGCTTTTCTCTTGCCAAATTTATAATTTCCTAAAATCCTTCTTCAAAACATTTGTCTTTTGCTGCCTTCAGACCTTCCCACCCTCTGGCAAGACGTTTAATTAGTGCCGGTTCAAGGGATGTGAGCGGCCTGGCCATTCCTCCCGCTCTGTCTCCACTGGCCGGCTGCTGGGTTGGCCAAACTTTGGGCTCACAGGCCATAATAGGGCTTGATGAATAAGAAGACTCATGCCACCCTCACTGCCGTGACCGTGCGCTTAGCACTAATGCATGGGGGAGCATGCAAACATGGGAAGTCTTTACATCCATGAAGGCCTACCACTTTAGCTTCTGTAAGAGTGGAATTGGATCACTGGCTTCAGATTGGTAATCTGAATTAACAGGAGCCTCGTTAATACTCAGATTTGTGTCTGTGTGCCTGTGTTTTGGGTAAAGTCATCACAGAGTTACTTTCTATCATAACACCTTGTTTTGACTTTTTGCTTAACGCTTATTTTCTCTCCACTGTCCCCTTGTTTGCTTTTTGTTCCTTTCTTGTCTCTCTCCATTGGGATGTATGCTCTGTGAGAACAAAGTCCCCATGGTCTGCCCACCACAGAATCCCCAGGCCAGGAGCAGTGCCTGGCACAAGAAGGCACCTACTAAACATTTGCTGAGTAAATTATCCAAATACGTCTCTCTTTCCATTTTTAAAAACAACACTGTTCTGCTCAAAGGTAGTGACATCTGCCAGCCTCAGATCAATCCAATGTCTCATTAGATACAAGGAATCATACGCAGAATAGAAAACAGAAGAGGGCACATCTATTTAAATTAAGCACTGCGTCTTCATTCCGCGGAGTGCCTCTGACCCTCAGTTTGGAGGATGTTTTAGCCGTTGATTGGAAAGCAGTTTGGGTCTTTCTTCTTAGCACTAAATAATTGTATTATTAATTTTACAGACATGCCGAAAGTCAACAGAAGCACATGGCAGAGAAAATGCCTGCAAAGTGAGCAGAAGCCATCCACCCAGATGACGAGCTAGAATTTATTTTGCTTCTGTGGTTGTAAAAATGCTGTTGCTGAAGGTGGCGCAGAGACAAACATCAGTGTTAGTCATTGATCATGTCTGAAGCTTAACGTCCAGTGATCGGCCTTTGCTTCTTAATTTATTTTAATTTTTTTACTGTGCCACTGAATATCAGGCATTTTAATAAAATATTGTTACAAAAAATGTACAGTACTTACACCATCACAAATCATGGTTAATGAAAGAAGGTAGTTTTAACTTTATTTTTATTGGTTTAGAGCTTTTAAGTTGGAGCAGTATTTGACCGTTGGCTCCTTTCCTTCTTCCCTGTAGTTTGAAGAACTGTAAATGACGGTGCTATACAAGTCCAGCATACATGCCTGCCTCGTAGTGAAGTTGTAGCTCTCCGTAATTGATATATTTTAATCAGTCTTCAACATTTTGTGAATGTTGACTACCTGAAGTTCATTTTTAGATGTGCTATTAACATTCTGTTGGATTCAGAGGGTTCTTTGAACGTTTTATGTATAAATATGTAAAATAAAAATTAAAACTTTGTTTCATATGATATGTCTTTTTGCTCACTAGCAAGCCCTACCCTGGCTGTATTTCTCCCCTCTTCACTCGTCCACAACTGAATGCCCCACCAGGAAGCTTCTGTCAGTGCAAACACAGCATGCTCCAGAGGACAGCAAGGCGGCAAATGCTGGGAAGGTTGTAAAGGGTGTGAATGTGAATGAGGGTGTCTGTGGTGGAGGTGTGAGGGGAGGTGTGTGCGTGTGTGCGAGGGTGTGTGTGAGTGATGCAAAGAAGACAACATCGGCAACATCAGAGCTGGCACTTCTGTTGCTCAGAGGTATCGATCTGGCACGTTAGCGCTTCACTGTTTAATAGCTGCTGGTCTTGTTAGAGCTTGTTACTGTGTCAAAACTCCATTGACCAAATTTGCCACATGAACAAATGATGCTTGCCTTTGTGCTTTTCCTAAGGCCAGCTGTTGCCATTTCAAATTTTAACCGCTTCTGTTGGTCTCATGAAGAATAATGGCAAGTCTAAAGTAGATTACAGATTGTTCCCCAATAAGTAGAGAGTTTCAGAAAGTCGATGTAATTAGCTAATGTCCGTGTAGGTATTTAAGAACCATAAGCTAAAGCCAAAAGGAGTCGTCAGCGTGCCAGAACTGCCCGCAGGCCCCCCTGGTTCCGCTTTAAGGTCCATGATGTGGTCTGAAGACGAAAGTTGAGACAACTGTCTACCTTCCCCTTTCTTAGAAATACCCAGGTAGATATTTTAAGTAATTAAGAGTTGCCAATTTTCATCATCATCTTGGCAAAATATGCCATCTCAAATTGAACACTGACCATCCTTATGGACCTCAGTCAAGTTATTTCATTTGGAACAGAAGCATAGCACAGCATGAACACACTCGGGTTCTTGTGAGCTGGCTATTGAGCAGGACAGGTTGCTCACCACTGAGCTAAAGGGCAGGGCCCAAAGTGCCCCTGAAGTCCCGCACCCTCTGTCCGTGATCTCTGGGGTGACCCCAGGCCTGAGAATCCAGGCACGTCTGCCGGATCTTTGCTGCTGCAGCTGGGGAAACCAGCGGTCAGGAAGCCAGTGGTTGTCATCTTTAGCTGCACAGTGGAGTCACCTGGGAATTTCAGAAACCACTGGGGCCTGGGTCCCACCCCCACAGATAGGATTTAATTGGTCTGGGTGTGATCTGGGCATCAGGATTTTTTAAAGGCCACTTGGTGTGATGCTCATGTTGCATACCACGGCCTTAGACTTTCTGCTGCTTTAGCTTTCCTTTAACCATTTTTTTAGCATCTGGTTTTTTCTAACTATAATATATTCCCATTAATCTGAAACTTTGGGGGACAGACGACCTGGGAAGAGCACTGCGAAAAATGCCTGTGCCCACGTACGAGCGGTCATGGGACCTACACCTCCTCCGGGATGCCCGTGACCTGGAGGCCTGATGCTAGAACTCAGCCCACCAAGAAAGAGTCTCTGAATTCTGTACATCCTTTCCAGAACTGCCAATTCCAATCAGAATTTAGAAATGAGTTTTCTCTTTGTCTTAAGCAGTGAAATCTCTCTGGTTAGAAGTGTGTTCTGAAGAAGTCCGTGGCCTCTAAGCTCTCCAGTTGCTTGAAGCCCATTATCATAACTGAAGAGCCCCCAACTGGAGAAGGAGGAATGTGAGATTACACCCACAAGGGCCCCTCGAAACGACTCTGGGTCAAATCCAGCTAAAAGTAGAGACCCTCAAAGGAGCTGACACTCAGTGTCCCATGTCCCTCTCACGCTTCTCTGCCCTAGGAGAGAGTTCACCAAGCAACTCACCTCCAAGGGGTTTCTCCCCAAGGCTGGGTCTGTCTAGTCCTTTTGCTTAGGTTTCCAGCCCTTCCATGCGCAAACGAGGACGCTTCCTAGTTAACCAGGCTTAGTTAGAATGCTAGACTACTTGACCTAAAAACCAGGGCGGGCGGGCCCTCTTCTTGACCATAAGAGAGTGAGGTGTAAGGAGCGCGAGGGCTCTGGGCCGGAAGAGCCTGGGCACAGACGCCGACCCCACCATCTTTCTAGTGCTTTGACCTTGAGCAAGTTACTAAAATTCTATTTTACCACCTGTACGTAAGACCTCCTGGGATAATTCTAAAGCTTGAATAACGTAATGTCTGTGAAAGCACCTGGCACCCAGTACATACTCAGTAAATAATCGTTGAAAGGAGAAGTAATGATGAGGGTTTGGGTGGAGGAGGCATCCTGCGTTTTACCGGTTTCTGAGATTTAACACATTCTTATGAGTTTGTTCCTGTTTATTAATCATTAATTTACAAAGCAGATGATTAAGGAAAAAGTTAACTTCAATCTTCAAGTCCCTCCACCCGCCTCCTAATATGTGCTAAAGCTTGGAGTGTATTCTTACACACTTTTCTCCATGATTCTACAGACAGACACACACAGGTAGGTTTTGTGTTTCAACTTGCTTATACAAAAGTGGGGTCACAGAAAACACATGCTTTGCAACCTGCTTTATCCAGGGACCTCCTTCCAGGTCAGTACAGACAGATCTGAGTCATTCTTTTTAACAGCTGTATAGTAATCCCCAGTATGGTGGTACATACTTTTTTCAGCCATTCCCTCTAAGGATGGACATTAAGGATCTTTACATATTTCTGCCACTGAAAACACACACAATAAACATGCTTGTACTCACCTCTACTTGCACTTTTATTGTGTGATCGCTTCACTTTTTTCTTTAACCATGACCTGGTATTGTGTTTAAATACTTCAGAGTACAGAGAGCTGATTAAGGTAGGGAAGACCAGAGAAGGCCACTGCAGAGAAATTCCATTCCTTGCAACAAATTGGACCAACCCCCCATGTCTGACAAACACCAACTCATTTTCATCTTTAGAGAGCATGAGTGTCACTTCCTTGATGCAGCTGTTTCTCTCATTCTGTCTCCATCACACACACACACCCCCCGCACACCTGTAGCCTCCAAGGACTGTCGTCTGCATCCTGAATACAGATTTTTCTGTTTCCTACCTGAGGGTAAAGGCAAACGTCAGCTGCCTTCGTAACCAGAGCCCTCAGCACAGAACAAGCAGAGTCTCCTCTTGAGGAGAAAGTCTGCTCGCTGGGACTGGCCCTTTTGTCCCCTCCGTTAACTGGCGGTGCTCTTCACTTTTCCTGACATCCAGTGCCTCTCCTCTCAGCTGAGGGCTGAGCCCCTCGGCCTGGCTTTCACTCAGGTTTACTCTCATTTCTCAAGCTTCATTCTCAGTTTCTGGTTGACTCTTCCTTAACTTCCTCACCTCACCAAATTTTTGATCTGTGATCCAGAGCCTTTCCTTCCACAGACTGTGTCGTCTCTTCTGTCTCTAGTAAACAGCCCTATGGCAGATGCCACTAGGCGTCTGCCAAAATTCATGCTCCCTACCATGTTCATAGTTATAGAGTTGTCCCTGGGAAACGGCTAAACAGACAGGAACTGCATTTCCCACCCACCACCCTCATGCATCTAAGTGTGACCCATGACTGATTCTCACCAATAGGATGTGAGTGGGTGTGGTGTGCCTTAATTCCAGCCAAAGCTTCAAAGGAGTTTGCCTTCTCCATGCTTTCTCTTTCGCCTTGCACCAGCTGTGATCACAAGTACCTAGAGGATGGCAGAGCCACAATATGGAAGGAGTCTGGGTCCCTGTGTCCACTGCAGAGGAGAGCTGCCTGCTGCCTGCTGCAACCTCAGATGGTTACGGGAGTGAGAAATAAACTATGATTATGTTTGAGGCATTGTACTGCATCAAATGTCTTTATTACAACAGCTAGCATTACTGTAACTAATGTCAGTCCTTGACAAGGACAGCCATAGTCCTTTAAGAAAGAGCCGGAACACAAACTCATGTCTCTGAAGACAAACCACCCATGCAATGCTGCTTCCAGAGGCCTCACCTCTTTTCTGATAGAAAATCCTCTCTAGGTCATTGACTCACCCTTTTTCAGTTCATGGACCTCTTCAGTTTAGTTCAAGGTTTTTTACTTTTATTTTTTTAATTTTTCCTTCTTCTCCCCAAAGCCCCCCAGTACAGAGTTGTGTATTCTAGTGAGGGTCCTTCTAGTTGTGGCATGTGGGACGCCACCTCAGCATGGCCTGATGAGCAGTGCCATGTCCACACCCAGGATCCGAACTGGCAAAACCCTGGGCTGCCGAAGCGGAGAGTGCAAACTTAACCACTCGGCCACAGGCTGGCCCCTTCAGTTTAAATCCTGTCCTCCATTCTGTCTTTTCCCTTAGCCACTGAGGCAGAAACCAGAGAGCGTCAAAATTGGATTTGTCATGGACAAACAATTCATGCCAGAAACAGGAAGGATTTTATTATGATGCCAGAAACATAATTATGTATCAAGTGACTACAGGAGACTTCTTTGGTGTCCATCTGGAAGAGCCTTGGGTTTCTACGATCCTCGAGACCATACTTTGGTTATTACTACCCAAGCTGAATTTTCTGATGCTTAGAAAACATAATTACCTTTTGCATTGATGTTCATTTATTTTTTCTAAATAAGATATGACACATTCATTAGGAGATAGGTTGATGGGTAATGAGTTTTTCAGGCTACTTTAATTGAGGCTTATAGTCGGTTGTTGGTATAAATGAATATTATGTTAAATACTTTATGAATTAATGGGTCTGGCTGTGCAGAATGAAAGTGTCTCCTAATTTCTACGGAGCCCAAAGACCTTTCATTTGGTAGCTTAATTGGTTGTAAGAAATTCTTTCCTGTAGCATCTTTCTCTCCCTACATTCCTCTGTTCTAGAACAATGCTCTTTCTGTGGTTATAACATGACCCTTGTTTTAAAAACCGCTGTACAAGAGCACAGGACAGAAAAGCAATGCTTATGGTGAAGGTGATTTTATTTTCACCTTCCAGACGAGGCATTCAAACTTTCTTAGCAGTTATTTACTACCAGAGCCTCTTTTCTTTTATATTCAATCAATACCTTATTTGCTTTTTGGCTTTGCAGACTATAGCGGTGTGTATCCTGACTC